ATAACTCCTAAGTGGATGAATATTTTTAGATGAAATTTGAAATCTGTCGATGAAATTCAACGTAGCTTACGATGGCATTCTCAAAAATCGGAGACTACTAAAAGTATTAAATATTTCTTGGGGGAGCTCAGGAAAATGCTAATTTTTTTCGCAAACTTTGATCGTAAAAATCGTTTCATAGAAAGTCATCATTTAAGACCAATATCAACCTCCATAAATTTCATTTGGATCCCATGCTCTAAAGCTGAGCTACAGCATACCAAATAATCCTGGTTCCGCCACTAGGACTAGTATAGTGGTCATCTAAGTTTTCTTGATCAATTCAATTCGTTCTTAATCTATGATACTATTCGTTTACATTTACACGATTGTTTTAGATATATATATATATATATCGATTCAAATAGCCGATCAAGTGAATATAATACATGTCAATATTTATTTTTAATTTAATTTATTTTATTTTTAGAAGTCTTCATTATCTGATGATGAGTCAAGAACAATTCCACGTCGTCGTCGACCAGTAGATATATAAAAGATAAATTAATTTTTAAATATTCATCATTTTATTTAACCAGCAGCTGTATTAAAAAGAACAGCAACAATAGCTTTAACTACAGAGGAAGTAGTCGAAAAACAATCAAAACTAAAAAATGTATGAGTATATTTGAAACAAATTTTTTGTTTAGAAAATAACTTTAAATTCATTTTAATTTAGTATTTACATTATATTGGCAATTGGTTCAGAAAGATATGGAACCATGAAGGAGTAAAAACTGCATGTTGTGGTTTGTTTCTTATTTTATTTTGTACTTGTGCAATTGGCGGTGCATTTTATCTTATTGGTAAATACATTGATGTATAAATATTTGATATATTAATAATTCTATTCTAGCTTTATTTGGTCCTCAAGGTCGAAAACCAATGGGGTTTTAATCAACTAGCTTTTTTGATAAAAAATATTTTTTTTATTGGAAGTAAACCTGTTGTGCTAAAACTGATTTGTTTTTTTTTGCAAGTAACTTGGTTTATTATAGTTAGAACTGTTTTTTTCTGTTAGTCGATTTTTTATCATTTTAAAACATTTTTTGTGAAAGTTGTTTTTTTTCCGGTGCAGATGATCTTTTTTTACTGTAAGTCATTTGTTGGTTTAAAACTTTTTTTGTGTAAAACGATTTGTGCTAAAAAAAAGGATTTTTTGTGGAATAAAACTATTTTTTCTTTATGAAAAGTCAATTTATTTGTACCTAACAGAGATTCAAAACAGACTAAAAATGTTCTCAAAATTAAGTTCAAAATTACAATTGAAAGGATTTCTCACCGATCAAAAAAAGGAAACAAATAAATTGTGTATGTAATCAAACGAGACGATCAAAGTATGCCATCCAAAAGTTAAACCGACGATGGGTCTAGACCTAAAATTTGGTTCTCGATCTAAAGCGAATGTAACGATAGATATTAATGAACAATTAAAAATCTTTTGCCTTCAATTAATATTGCTTTTTTGCGTCCTATACATGTGCACCACTGAAATAGTAACTCTATTCAATCGTTAAGAGATTCGTACACTGTTCAAATTCTTATTTTATATCTTAAAAAAGTAAGTTTATTAAAATTATCGTAATCGTTAGTTGATATAAATCTTTTATGTAGAAAAAAAGTAGACGAAAAAGAAAAAAAAACTAATTGTTTTTGACATATTGTTGAAGAAAATAATTATAATTGATTGTTCCATCCATTTTCGTATCAATTTGTGATGTTAATGTATAAAATTCTCGAGAGAGAAACAGCGGAGATTTCAGTCTTGAAGTCTTATGAAGTCTCCTGTAGTCCCATGAAGTCTGTTGAACTCTTTGAGCTAGAGCTTTTAATATAACACCTGATGCAAAAGCAATGGGACAAATGTCGACTAATATATCTCTTCAATAGAAGAACACTCAAAGAAAACTTTTTTTACTAGCAGATAGAATGTTTTCCTCTTTCAAATCATGTATAACTTATTTTTATTGCATGCCCATAAACAAAACAGTGCAAAAACAAAGACAAGCACCCTCAAAGTGAGTCCGCACTTTTCCTATAAATTACAGCACAACATATGAGTCATTATATGACTTCAATAAACACGTTCTGAAAGGAATATTTCTCCATCAGTCGATAAGGCACTTTCTCTTTCGAACAGTATATGATTTATATTTGTTATACATTCGTAAATCAAATGAGACGAGAAAAAGAGAAATACTCGTGCAATAAATTTCCGATTTTAATATGAACTAGTCAAAAACATAGTGTAAAATGGCTGTTGATTCTGTTTAACTGTTGTGTCTCACTATCATTTTGACAAGTCCATATAAAAATCACAAGTTCATTGCGCGAGTGTTTTTCGTTTTTTTTTCATCCTCATTTTATTTACGAATCTATGACATCTATAAATCATAGAATGTTCAAAAGACGAGAAAATTTCCTATTGATTGATGAAAAAATATTCCTTTCAGCACGTGTTCATTAAAAAGATATAGGGATTAACATTTCCTCATTATATATTATATTGTCAAATAATAATCTATTATATAAAATTAATATTATTCAATAAAAAAAAAAAAAAGAAAAAAAAATTATCTTATTTTAAACAACAAAAATTTATAATTAAATGTTCATCTATATTAATTTTAACTTACGTAAACGTTTTAAAAATGAAGAAACAAATATAAAAATCAATGAAAATGAAGGTGAACACTTTGATGATATACTTGAATCAATTTATATTGAAAAACTTCTTTCAATACTTTCAATATGTCATTCATCACTTGATTCATTACCATCAATACCGTTAAATTCTTCAACAAAATTTCTTGCTGCATCAATAACATCAACAAATCAATATTCACCATTTATGCATACAACAATACATTTAAATATAAATGATTTAATATCTGTTGGTGATAGTATGTATTATTGTTTATCATCATTTATATCACAACCAAATTATATAATACCAATAATTTATCATTATTTAAAAATAAATCCATGATTATCATCACCATTATTATTATTTATTATTCATTCAATACATAATACAAAAATATTATTTGAAATATTAAATCAATATAAATATCTTGATTTCTTAGTTAGTAATTTAATAATATATTCAAATTATTTATTAAATCAAACATAAATACCATCAATACAATGTATTTATGATCAAAGACAATCATCAAATAATACAATGGATATTGGTTCGATCAATTTATCATCACAATGTCAAATAACATGTTCAAATCTAAATTGTAACATCACCTGAAATTTTAATATAATATAATAATAATCTTCAAACAACAACAATAACATCATCATCACGTCGTTTACGTTCATCACCATGGTCATATACATATTTACCTAATGAAAAACGTTGTACATTAACATTACAATTTCCATATTCAATTATATTAAAATCTATACAAATAACACCATTTACACAATTATCAATTAATCAGTATACTATAATTGATCAAATAAATACAAATTTAACACAATATCCATCATCAATAACATGTGAAATATCATCAGATGATTATTATTTTATACCATGTTCGTATTTATTAAATACACAAGGACAACAAATAATTAATTTCTCAATAACAAAACAAATTGATATTGTTAAACATTTACGTATACATTTTTATAAACCAATTGATCATAATACAATTAGTTTACAACAAATATCTATATACGGTTATTATGCATATGATCAACAAATGATTATTGAACAAACAAGTCATCCATATCAAACATTAATATCAACAGTTTATGGTAAACAAATATTACATAATAAAAATTCAAATACATCAATAATAACAACAGTAAATGATGATGATAATATTAAATTAATGTATTCATTAATAAAATCTTCAACAATAAATATAAATATAATTGATAATAGTCATCAAATATCAATGATATTATCAGATAAATATCGTTCATTTAATCATTATTTACAATTAATACATTTATGTTTAAAAAATTCATTAATAGTAAATGATAATTTATTTGAAAAATTTCTTTTTATACTTAAAGAAAAAAAAAAATTTTGCATATAAGTAATTTTCTTTTTAATGAAATATTTATTTTTATTGATAATCATTGTACAGATAAATAATTTGATGTATTTATTAAATATTTAATTAATTATAATCATTTTAATATTTTATCAGAAATCAAGAATTTTAATGAAGAAAAAAAAAAAGAATATTTATTATTTAATGAATAATTTTGATCATTTAATTAATAATCAAATGAAACAAATTATTAATAATATTTTATGGAAAATAAAAGAAGATAATATAAAATAAGATGAAAATTTATTAGAATATTTTGTTAAAAAATAAAAAAGTTATACATGGTTATTACCATCAATAGCACATCATAAACCATTATTAGCTATGAATTATATTAATAAAAATGAAACACGTATTGAATATTTTAAACAATTAAAAATATGTTCATTAAGTGTTGAATTTCTTAATGAAATATTAAATAATGAATAATTAATTAAATGAATTGAAGAATTAAATCAACAAATTCAATATATATCAAATAAAACATCAAATTATTTATTAATTCATCATGGACTTGATTATTTAATAAAAATAAGTAAATATGCAAATGTACAAATATGGTTTTCAAAAAACAACAATTGCATCAAATATATGAAAATATTTACTTGATCTATTTAATAATCCAAATATATCATCATTTATACAATCATCATCTATTTTATTAACACAATTAATAATACTTTCAAAAAATTTATTTATGCAATGTCCAACAAATCAAACAAATATGTCATTAATATCATTTTATTTAGATTATTTAACTGAACAACGTCTTGAACAAGATAGTCCATTAACAGGATATTTACAATATATATTAAGTGAAGTTGTACTTAAACATGAATATACACAATGGTTTATAAATACACGAGATTATCCAATAAATACGATTGTCCAATATCAATGAATATTGGACAATTAATTGAAAAATTTTTTGGTTTTAATTGTTTACAAGCTAATATATGGACAGCTATAAATTATATTAAAAATAAAAATTATTGAATAAAAGCATCAAGTTGATCAATAAATAATAATCATAGAAGAAAAATACCACGAGCTGATTTAGTTTCATTAAGATCAACAATACAAGGAAAATTAACAATAAAATCAATTAGTTCATTATCAAATTTAGCTAAACATAAAAAATTATCATCAAAATCAACAACAATAAATGAATCATCAATATCAAAGAAAACTTCATCAATAACACCTGTAGAAAAAATTGTACATTTTATTTAACATATTAATGAACAAAAAAGACAATGTATTCTACCAAAAACTACACGATTAAGTAATTTATTATTATCATTTGATTGTCGATCATTAAATACGGATGAAGTTGATGTTATAGAATTTACTTTTGATAATCGTGTTTTAATTAATGATAATCAAGAAAATGAATTTATTACACATATATCAATAGTTGCAAATAAAGATTATCCAACATTACTTGATATATTTGTTCATGCTAACGGTCTTAAAATTCTTGTACAACATTTTGCTCGTAATTATCCATCAATACAATCTTATGATGAATGTTTAACATCATCATCATCATCATCGTCAAATACAAATATATTCGATAAAATAAATTTCTTTGATTTCTCATCATTAGTTTCAACATCATCATCATTATAAACAAATTCTTCAAATAATATGACAATGTCATATTATGTACTTATAACATTTTCAATATTTCTTCATTTACCAAATTATGCATGTGCTATGTTATAAAAAAAAAAATCGTTCACTTGCATGTAATATAATACGTTTAATGTTTGGGCTAAAAGAATCAATAACAAATGAATATCAAGATCAAACACAATAACATCAAGAAAATTTTGATATACGTCAATTATCAAAATTACCATTTGAAACATTATCGATTTTACTTAAAGATTCATCAAATGATTTATTAGATGAAATTTTACATTCAAGTATTTTACTTTTATTACTTTCATGTTTATCATCAATAACACGTCATCCACATCGTAAACAAAAAGATTCAATATCAACATCATTATCAATTCCAACAA